TGCCCAAAGGATCACAGTCAATTTCAACCAACATTTCTTGAGTTAAGGCAATGAGGCAGGCAGGGTAGAGAGTAGGGCTGTGAAGTGGGCAGGGCTGGACACTCTGAATGTTACTAATGTTTTTCTGTGTCTCCTTAAAGTCATATGGCCTTGTACAGAGAGCTCAATCCACCACTCTTGCTGTCCTGGGTTTCCTCTGGCCTGTTTACTAGTTTTAGAATTTCCCTCACACAGCCGGACAGCTATCCTGCCTGTCCTCAGTTATCCCGCCAGCAGATTTTACTAAAATCATTCACTTACACTTGTTGTTTTTAAGTAAAACTCATGAGTACCTAAGACCAATCCGTTATGGAGACGACTGTCATAACAATCACCTGTGGTATTATTTATTCTGCCAGTTTGAATGATTTGTATGGAAAAATGGCTGGGCAGCTACAATCATTGAGGTCTGGGTAGGACATTTCCTACGTGATTGGGAACAGTGAGTACCTACATTATATACAGTGAGTGGCAGAAACACTAACAACTGTCACAAGGGCCTCTGCCCTCTGCCGACCCCCTTCCTGGGTTATGATTCCCTTCTTGCATATAGAGCCAAGGGACACAAGGTGAGAAGCCATCAAATTCTGGTGGCCTGGGGATTGTGAACAGTGGCTGATGTCATTGGTGACTCCTCAGCCAGCTAGCAGCAGACATAGGACCTTACAAAAGTACAGACATGGCTGGTCCCCCTGCCTCCACCCACATCTTTAACGAATGAGTGACTGTGTAGACAATGTTATAAACCAAGGGAGGTGGAAGCATCTAGAAGACAGGAAGCTCCAGACAACTCAGAAATTTGTCCTGCTTATCTAGAGTCTTAGTTACTGGTTTATTATTGTGAGGAGACTGTTACGATAAATCTTTCCACCATAAGCCGCCGAGCCCCACTGCCACATGTACGCTTTATGCCAGCCGCCCACCCAAGTTAGGCCCAAATGAATACACAGAAATTTGCTTTAGGTTCAAAGCTGCTTGGCCAATGACTAGGATTATTCATCTGCTAGCTCAGTCTTAACTATCATAAACCTATATATTTTATAAGACTTATCTTATCAGACGCCTTATTGGCGTCCCTCCTTTCCGGTGGATCACATTGTGCCGCTGGAGGAGGCGAAAGGGAAAGGGGGCCACTTCCTGTTTCCTCGCTTAGATATGAGTCTCCTTGCTATGTCACTTCCTGCCTGGGTCACCACTTCTCTACTACATTTCCCAGAATCCTCTTTGACTTCTAGTCCCATCTAACTTGCTGTCTCATTGGCCAAACAGTATTTTTATTTAGCAATCAATAAGATAAACATACACAGTACATTCCCCATCAGGAGACAGCATAACCTAGGCATATAAGGATGGCATTTAATTGAGGACTTGCTTACAGTTAGTCCCTTGTCATCATGGTGGGAAGTGTGGTAGCAGGCAGGCAGGCATGGTGCTGGAGAGGTAGCTGAGTGCTCACATTGGAGGTTAGAAATCACCAATTTAGAGTTAAGATGACTCAGATATGACAGTTGGAATCTTGTATGGTCAACATTAGCCACCAGGGATGGTTCAGAGGAATTTACCCTGGTTCTGCAGAACGGTATTGGTCTCAGTTCCCTAATAATCTTTCAAAGGCCCTGCCTCCCAGTCATGCCAGAATTCAATCAAACTGCAACATGAGTTTCAGAGAAGACAAACTGTACTCCCTGATTGGCTTTGCTTCTCTCTAGAACTGGTATTGATCAGGCTCTTACTGAATACTTTAGATACCCAGGAAGGACTGAGCGGACATGCATGAGGGCCACGGAAGCCTCTTTCCCCTGATTTTTAGAATAGAAATGGCAGTGGTTCTCAAACTTAAATCATGGGGAGGTGGTACAACTGAATGATCCCTGCTGCCTCACCAGCACTGTAAAACATTTTACTGAAGAAAAACTTTCTGAACACAAAAATACCAAGTAAATAGAATGTTATTAAGGAAAACATATAATTGTGGTAAGAAGTTCTAGCATATGATTTCGCCTTGTGTAGAACCAACTACAGATGCCTTGTAATGGCACTGACCTTTAACAAAAACAAGTAGAGGCATGCTATGGCTTAAATATCATTGGTCTCATTGAAACCTGCTTCAATTTGATGGCCATAGCCAGTGTCTTAGTTTGCTGTCTCTTACTATGATAAAAATCATGACCAAAGGCAACTTGGAGAGAAAAGGGTTTCTTTTCTCTTTCAGCTTGTAGTCCACCATCCAGGGAAGTCGGGGAAGGAACCTGGTTGCAGGAACTGAGGCAGAAACCATGGAGGAGTGCTGCTTACTGGTTTGCTCCTCATGGCTTCCTTAGACTGCTTTATCATACAACCCAGGACCACCAGCCCGAGGTGGTCCTCCTACATCACTCATTAGTGGGAAAATATCCCACAGACTTGTCTACTTGGCAATTTGGTAGAAACATTTTCTCAGCTGAGGTTTCCTCTTCCTAGATGACCTGAGTATGCTAGTTTGAATGTAATCGCCCCCAAAAGATCATAGGGAGTGGCACTATTAGGAGGTATGGCTTCGCTGGAGTAGATATGGCCTTGTTTGAGGAAGTGTGTCACTTTGGCGGTGGGCTTTGAGGTTTCCTATGCTCAAGATACTGCCTAGTGTCATAGGCCACTTCCTGTTGCCTTCTGATCAAGATGTAGCAATACCATGTCTGCCTGCATGCAACCATGCTCCCCACCATGATGATAATGGATTCAACCTCTGAAACTATAAGCTAGTCCCCATGAAACATTTTCCTTTATAAGAGTTGCTGTGGTCTTTCCACAGCCATAACCTGAGTGCGGTACTTTGAATGCAACTGGGCCCCATAGCTTATAGGGAGTGGCACTGTTAGACTATTAGTGGCACTAAGACACTGTGTTTGTGTCAAATTGACAAAAACTAAGCAGCACACACAGTGTGACAAGTCATCAGATCACTGAGAGTGGTTGGTGCCTTCCTTACAGAGCTCAGCTGGTTCTTTTGGAAGTGAATATGTTCCCATAGGGATGGGTCATTTCAAAATGACATTGATGCTCATGTTTCCTTCTGCATTTTGTATACACCTTTGTGAACTTAAGCAGCACAAGGCCTCCCCAGAAAATGAGCAGACACTCCATGCTCTTAGATTTCCTATTCTCCACAGCATGAGTAAACCCACATTCTTTATAAGTCAGTCAGATTCCAATGTTCTCTTATAGAAACAGGAAAACTGATGGGGGCAGGTGGTAGAGATGGTAGGTGAGCCATTTCAAGGGGGCCTACCATATATCATAGCCCCCAAAAGGGCCTATCAAAAATATTGTAAGGAGAGTTAGATAGCTATTTAGATAGAAGTGTGAGCTACACAGATTATATTTTGGTTGAAATAAACATACTGGCATCTTTGTGATTTAAGTGCATGCACAGCACATCTCTGGACCACACTAGTGCTGTGCTTACAAAACAGACACAGTTGGAGTCAAACTCCAAAATATAATTATTGGTGTGCTAAAGTACAAAAGTATCATGGTGGCTCATACTTGTGGTGGCTCACACTCATGATGGTTCACACTTGTGGTGGCTCATACTTGTCATCTTAGTGCTTGTGAGGTCGAGTCAGGAGGATTATGAGTTTGAGGGTAGCCTGGACTGCAAAGCCAGTTCTATATCAGGCTGGTCTACATGGTGAAAACCGAGTTCAGTCCTCCGCACAGGTAAACAAAAATGAAAGAGATGAAGAACCAAAGTGAATTGTTCTAAACATCGTGACTAAAACCTGAAACTAAAGACATTTTCAATACTTAGAAAACTAGCAGATAAAAAAGTTATAATATATAAGAATTTAGTGGGAAAAATTAACCACAGGAATTGAGTATGTATTTTCAGTAGTATTAGTGTAATAGGCTAGTGTAGTTGGTTTTACTTTATTCTTTGGGGGACCTGCCACCCAGCTCCAAAATAAATAAATGGAGATTTATTATTACTTATAAATGCCCAGCCTTAGCTTGGCTTGTTTCCAGTCAGCTTTTCTTAAATTATCCTGTTTACCTTTTGCCTTATA